CTTAGCAGTTTTCCCGCTAAAATCCTCACATGCCCGTACTGGACTACAGCTGGTCTTCTAATAATTGACAATAGACAATGAAAAACCTTGTTCTCGTTAAACGGGCTAGTAAAATTGCCACAACGAAATTGAATTTGACCTGGACTACAGCCGGTCTTCTAATAATTGAAAATAGACAATGAAAAACCTTGTCCTCATTAAAGGGGCTAGTACAATTGGCACGGGGCACGTGTTTGTGAAAAAAAATTGAGTTCCTCATGCTAGGTAGATTTCAAAATTTCATGTACAAATACGTTAGAACTTGGCACAATTGAAAACTAAATTCTTATTTTAGCTTACATATAGGAAGAAAACATTTTCGTAAGGTTTTCGACTGGGCGGGCTCCCGAATTGAGAAATCTTCCATCTACAGTTCTGTGTGCCTGGGCTTGAACCTTAAGGTACGCTTGAAAGCTAAAATGGAATGTCCAAAGTCACATTTGAAAAACATCCTCGTAAAATCTTAGTATTCAATCAGTATAGATTGTGCTCGTAGATACGCCAATAAATTCACTTGTTCGTGCGAGAGAATACTGCTTATCAAGGAGCTGAATTTGGAATTTTTTGGTGTGATTAGAGAACATCAAGTTACATTTCCAGTTTCCTAGCTCTTCTTACTTCCTAGTTCGCAGTTTTCACGCTAGAATACAGGCCTTCGCACATGAAGTCCGAAAACACTCAGGAGTTCAGCTGGAAATCGTTTGATTGCACATGGGAAGGCAATAAACTTAAAGATTCAGCTCACTAACTTTTCTGGCTCATAATAAATTCAAGTTGTAGATGTGTTGAGAACATTTCCTGAAAGTTTCAGCCTCACAACTTCCCTGGTTCCGGAGTTATTCATTTTTCCCGCCAAAAATTTTCACGAGGTCGTACGTGGCTGCCACGCAAATTGGGGGGCTGAATTTGATAAATTTAAGTTGTAGATTAGTTGGGAGCATTCCCTGACCTTTCCCTTTTTTTAGGTTTCAATAGCCCTCACCGTATCCGTAGCACAGGGCTTAACGGGCAACCCTACCCATCGTCCTTACAAAAAATTTTTGGCTGATTGTGTAAGATACAAGCCGAGCCAAACCGAGCCGAGTTTTAGTAACTGCTAAAAAATCCAACGCCTGGATGTTTCGGTTGCGGGATTACGCCAAATTTCACGTGCTCGTACGTGGGTGGGTGCCTTCTTCGCTTGCGGTTACTTAAAGAGGCCCTGAGTAGTGCTCAGAAAATTTCAGCACTCCAGCTGCTCTGGTTGCAGAGTTGCGTCAAATTTCACGTGCTCGTACGCGAGTGACAACATGAATGCTTTCTTCGTCCGCGTTTGCTCAAACACGGCCCTGAGTAACGCTCAGAAAGTTTCAGCACTCCAGCTGCTCTGGTTGCGGAGTTACGCCAAATTTCATGCGTGTACACGTGAAACTTACGCAACACGTGAAAGTGATGTATAAGTCATTTTTGCGTGCACCGTTGGTCATGCCCGCGTATGTACTAGCTAAAGATTTCAAATTCAGCCCCAAGACATGCGTGGTACTCATGTAAGAGCATATGGAAATTTTAGGGGAGAAATTGTTGACCCGGGTACCAGGACGGCTAGAAAGCTGAAATTTTGCAAAAATTTTCCCTATCCAAGGACAACTCAAATATTTTAAATTCAGCCCCAAGCTATGCATGGTACTCACGTAAGGGCGTATAAAAGTTTTAGGGGGAAAACTGCTATCTCGGATACCAGGAGGGCTAGAAAGCTGAAATTTTGGAGTAATATTCCCCCCTCCCCATCTCCCCCCTCCACCAAGTGCAACTCAAATATTTCAAAATCAGCCTCAAGCTATACATTGTACTTACGTAAGAGCGCAAGAAAGTTTTGTTATGCGTTTTGTCTACACGCAAATTGCAAAAACGCATATTATTATACAACGACTCTGTATGCGTGTATGTTTGTGTGTGTCTGTCCGGGTATTTCAACTGGGCAACCAAGCAAGTTCCACCGCCAAGATTTTGCTGGTGCGTCCCCCGGCCAAGTGCCACCTTAGGACCGCGGTACCAACTCTCACGCAAGTCCGGGCCCCGTGTACAAGGGTGAATGTCTTGGCGGGAAAATTGATTAGCCGGGGACGAGAAAAGAAAGAAAGCTGGAATTTTGAGGTCATGTTCCCCGTTCACATAGAACTCAGAAATTTCAAGTTCAGCTCCCAGGTGCGCGTGGTTCCCGCGTACGACTCCATGAGGGTTCATGGCGGAAAAAATCGCTAACTTGGAAGCTGGGAAAGCCGGAAAGCTGAAATTTTAAAGGATGTTCCCAGCCCACGTACAACTTAAAGATTTCAAACTTAGTCTCCAGGATGCCTCAGGTAACGTACAGCTCCATGGAAGTTTTGGCGGGAAACTGCTAACAAGAAAACCGGAAAAGTTGGAAAATTGGAATTTTAACGGAACGCCCCCTGTCCAAGTGCCACGTAGTTGCGCAATTAACTCGCCGAATTTTGAGGACCATTATGTCACAAATTCTAGCTGCTGGGTTTCTGGACGATCTTTCTACAGCACGAAATACTGCAAAAACGCATGATCACAGGGCGCACCTCGCCACCAATGATTTTTTTTGCAGTGGCTGCTTTCCACATCCTCTTTCTGGATGAGACGCAATCAATCCCGAGCAATTCTTCTCGCTTTCTACTTACTGCAGGACGTTTATGCTAATGAATGGATCAGTGTTCTAGATGCATTAAAATGTGTCTCGGTAGCACTAGCTGAGGGGAAAGCCAGGCAAAACGAGGCGCAGCAGGCAGACAGACAAGCAAGCGTTCCTCACTCTTTTGAGCTTACTTGTACTCTTGGCCGTTTATGGTTCGGGTTAGACCGACGGGATGAGTGAGCGGATGAGATGCGGATATGGAAGTATCGTCGCTGCCTCCCCGTAGTAGGCGGCCAACTTGGCGATATTAGCAGCAATGTGCCCGCGAGCCGCCAAACTGAATCAGTAGCCGGCTAGAGAAGGAGCAAAGGCACGGGACACTAGCACGCATCGAACATTTCAATGCATCCTATCGGCCTCTCCGGCAGTAGCCAAGTTAGGCTTGGCTAGGCACTGCAAGTACATACAGAGTCAGTGCTCGTGCTTTGTGAAGCTAGTAGTTGTAAAAGGCCTGCTTGCAAATGGCGACGAGCGGTTGACCGGCATGACGGCGTGCCCGGTCCTCAAACCGGGCTGCATTCAACAAATCATCCATGCAGTGGTCATCATCATCACCCTCTAGCGACCACTGTCAATACAAAATTCGCTAATGGTGAGCTTTCGAAATTCTAAAATAATGATCTACCGTTTCCGACTGCTTCGAACTGGCAAGGGGAAATTGAGTGTAAGTAGTCTCGGACAGTGATATCAGAGCTGTGTCTGTATGCCGCTGTAAAATGGTTGAAATTTCTAAATAATGATGATAGCGCAAGTAGATTTTTTGCCCGATAGGTTGTTCCCGGTACTTGGGCATGATTTAGCCTAGTCCTTGGTCACTTCGTTGTGAATATTCTGTCGCAGTCCTGTTTCACTCAAGTCGTCTTATGCAGAACCGTTCAATCAGTCCACCCCGGTCGCCTGTGCCCGAACACTGAGCTGCTTTCTTCAGTACCCTTATAATCAGTTATTGGCGGTTTATCTTATTATCCTCAATATCGTCTGTTTGAATGTTATTTGCCAATCGTTCGATCTGATACATTAATTTACTGAATCTAAATTAACAGTGCATCTGGTGTCATTTCTTGCTGTCATATGCAAAAGGTCTGCGGTTTGGATCCCGGCACAGCATCTTGGCTTCCACGAATCCGAATCAGATTGTCTTGACACACATACACACACACACACACACACACACACACACACACACACACACACACAGTCTCTTGTTCTTGCATTTATGTGCAAAAACGCGCGCAAAAAAACACTGCTAAACAGCCTGCTGATATACGTGCCAATGTCCTCCTCGGTGAATCCCGCGCCTTCCTAGTCACCTAAGTTTCGCATCACTCGCAGTTATTTCTTACAACATGCAGTCAGTTCGCGGTATTTTTCATTCAAAAACGTGGCAGTGGAAATTACGGCATTCTTTTCGTCTCCAGCGCTTTATCGGTTCTCTAGGCTGAAGCAATTGAAAAAGCTCTATCAGTTTCGAGATCCTAGCGATGCGTGTGTGCGTTCCAGTAACAATATAAGCCGAAACAAAAACGCATAATAAAAATGGTAAATCACACTTAAATCAAAAAAAAAAAAAAA